TTGATAAAATACAGCTAGGACAGTAAATAATTTTTTTAGGAAGGTTCAGTTGTTTCCATTTTTGTGTAAAAACAGCAAAAGTCTCAAAGCAGGACTAACTCAACATGTTTTCCCATCCCATTTGTTCTTCAATAGACTGGATTTAAACTAAAAAGTATCAGTGTAATAATGACACAGCCTACAAGACTTGAGTCAGTGACCTGGTAAATGAGTTAGAGGAATCACTAAAAGTTGTTTGAAAAATGTCAATATTTAAATGTAAACCCACACTTGATATTTCATATTTTTAATTTGTGATGATGTCCTTGAAGCAGACACTTATATTTCAAACTTCAGGTGTGTGTGGTTATTCTGAAATGAAGAGAATTCTGCAATTATTCTAGTGGCATAACCTACATTACCATAACACAGCATGGTATTAGAGCAAATCGAAAAGCAATTACAGTGCTCTCAACAGAAAGCATCTCTGAGACTAAATGAGGATGTTTGTGAAACAAATGTACGTTTTAAACAGACTTTTGTTAAATAATATTTGTATTTTGCACTGCCTCCAACTTAGTCTAATTCAATGCAGAAATGTCAGTTCTGACAAATACTCACTTTTCCATTTTATTAAGTCTGTCAAAAATAGAAATCTTTCATTTAAATTGAACTTTTTTCACCTCCAAATTCAAATGAAACTTCTCAGTTGGGTGCATGCAGGCTGCAAATGCTTCTTCTGCAGAACTCAACTGTCAGAGTGCATGAAAATCTGTGTGAAGCCTGCCAGTCCCTCGGCAGACATAAACAGTGGGATAAATCTTGCCAATACATGTTATACAGAGAGCAGAGCTCACTATGTGGCAGCGATTGTAAGGAAGGGTGTCATATTTTTTTTACAAAAGAGATTTTGGGGTTTTTTAGTAAGTTGATAAATGTTGATATAACATAATGGTGACTAATGAACCTGGTTGGGAACATAGTAAGCAGAGAAGGGAACAAGCCAGTGACAGGCTGATCTGGATTGCTAAATTAGGTGCAAACTAGCAACATGCGTTTTACCACCTCCAAATGCAAAGTTGTTCATCTAAGAGTCAAATAGGAGCACAATGTTGATGGAGACAGTTCAGTGAGGAGACACAAGCATGAATGGGATGAAGAGAAAAATTGTGTCTTCTGTCTCCTATCTCTACTTATATCCAGCTATCTATAAGGAAAGCCAACATTTGACAAAGGGTTTTTGAATCTGAAGGCAAAACCAGAAGCACATACTATGCCTAGAAGCTGAGGTTGTACAAATTCTGTCCAAAATAAGCTTCACCTTTTTTTCTTTTTTTTTTTTTTTAAAGTATAATAATTAACAATAAGATAAACAAGTTCCTGAAATATTCTTCTACTTCTATTTTCCTAAATTACCTGCTCTGACCTGAAGAGAGCAGTTCAGGGAAGTCCTGTGGACACTGCTAGGCAGAAAGTCACAGCAAATGAATGTGATGACCTTATCCACTCTGATAACTGATGACTCTTGAATGCACAAGAATCTTTTTGCTGATCATATTTCTGACAGAACCCAGCATGTGGCCTCTTGGCAATCTACCTCTTTTGTCAAACTAAAACACAGCTGTTTTGGCAATTGTCCCCAAGCTCTTGGTACCAGCAGATGTCTCTTAAACTGCTATGGCTTTCAAATGAAGTGGTTGCCCATCGTTGCCTCATGGCTGTTCAAAGCACATGTCCGGCAGAAGTTTAGCCAAGCGATGAGAAGCTTAACACAGAGGAAGACCAAACCTTGCTCCAAAACTTGAGCAATATCACTGAACTGATAGTAGCTAGAGGGGGTAGAAAGGCATGGAAACAAGAATACCTCTTTGAGGAGAAACTCTCTGCTTTTGGATGTGCAATGGGGTAAGTCCTCTCCGCGCTCCTGCTGTCCTTACAGATGTCAAGAGATAACATTAGTGTGCATGAAGGGAGCTTTGCCTGGGTGAGGCAAAGCTGCAAAGCACCGTCCTGAAGGAGCTCCTTGGTGTTTCAGACATTGTTTGGGGCCAGGAGGTGCGTGGGGAGGAGGCAGGAAGGGATGAGACTAAACTGTAACTCTGTGACCAGGGTACACAGTCACTCTGTAAAATGCAAGGTCATGATGACATAGTATAAAACCTAGTTGTAAGCAAGCGGGATTCAGTACTGAAGCAATGTCACTACAGCTGGCAAGAGTTTACACCAGCTGGTGTTGGCAAGGGGTTAAGCAGCATGGGGGAAGATCATTTCTTAGGTAGCTTGATACCACTCTCAGTGGTCTCTTCTGTTGTTCCTCCTCTGCTGTGAGATATTTTCCAGCTCTTGGAGACTTCTATAACTCATGTTTCCAGTGAGGTTCAGTATATAGCCTTATGTCATATAATTAATTAGTCTCTTGTAAGACCTGCTTTCACTCTCATTCCATGTGCTTCCTTTTAAATTGTGTCCAAAGGACTTGTTAGTTGTCTTTCAGGTCAGTAGGTTATAGCTACGTGAATGTCAGTACAATAGGAAATCTCATTCCTCCAGAAAGCAGCATTTCCTCTGTGAAGCACACCCTGTGTCATGCTAGGCTCTGTATTCATCAAGCAATGAGATTTCAGTGGGATACCTGTAGTACTGGAGAGCTGATAATCTCATATCATAGCTGCTAGTAGCTTTTTTTTTTTTTTAAGATTAATAAAAATGAGATTTCCTGCAGAATATTACAATGACGGGATGTAGCAATGACCACAGAATTCTGTAGAAGCCTGCATTTGAGTGTTTCGGTTGCTTATTTGAAGACAAAAATAGATCTCTCACTGTCTTCTTAATAAGAATGTCTGAGGAAAATATCAGTTACCTGACTTCTGCTTATCTGTTTCTTACTGCCTTCAGATCAAGTTTCACTGCCAGGCTCTGAAGGGTGACAGTGAGAGGTCCTTCCTCTCCAAGCACAGCCTTACTGCTGGGGCTGCTCACATCAACCCGCATTTCCAGCCTGTTGCCTTTAGGACTGTGACACTTTTAATACTCTAAATACTCATTTTAAATTAAAACAGTGTGATAATGCCACTTTTTAGAGACACATCTTCAAATTAAAGCCTAGCAACTTGGAGAAACTAGTGAACAGTTATTGCTAATCCCTTCGGGCTTGCACGGTCGTGAGGCTGAAGTGAAATGTCTCAGAAACAAGAACAGAACTGGGAGGAACTTGCGTGGTTTCTGATGCAAGAGCTGCAGTGTGCTAACCAGCAGCGCCTGTGAGAAAAAGCTCTTTCATAGCAGCCTATTCTACTTCCCAATAGACACTGGAAGTAGTTGTCCACGTAACTCTAAAATGCAGCTCAAACAGAAAAGATCAGTAAATGCCAACAACCACCACATCAATTTGACATATGGCAGTTTTTATGTTGATTACAACAAAATATCTGGAGTCTCAGATGCATTGGTATAACTAGAGAATAACGGACTTTTCAATGTATAAAGAGATCTTGATTACTGTAGGGGAGAATGCTTAGAAATACTGCTAAGAAACAACAAAATAAATCTAAGATGCATCACAGATATTCATTCCCCACTGTGAGAGAAACCGGTTTATAAACTGTTAGAGGTATATCCTCTTTTCTACAAAAGAGAGAACTGCTAAAGAACTTTTTTCCCTTCCCAAATTTTGGAAGTATGTGCCATCTAAAAATGAAAATAAGCTGAAACACCAGTCATACAAAGAGACAGAGGAACTACTTTTTGAAGTTAACAACATTGCAGTATTAAAAGAAAAAATACGAAAACTCACTCAGTAGAAAACCCCCTCTTGTGTTGTGGGATTCACTGGTGAAACGGGTGACGTACCAGAGTCTGTTTTAAATTATAGTTCAGGTAGAAATAGCAGTATAACTGGGATAGTACAGAGCCCAGCACTGTTAATTTTCCCTTGGTTCTTTTCCATGACTGCAGTGTGGACATCCTCCTGATACTTTCTTACACGCAAAAATGTTTCAGGATAACACCCTACCTGAACTCTTCCCTTCCCACACAATCTTGTAGGACTTAAAAATCATACCAGAAGTTACATTTAGAATTATAAGTATCATATTTAATCTCTCTTTGAAGCAGTAATATATTAAAAATGTATAGCATACTCATTAAACTTGCTATCACTTTTCATCAAGCCCCAGCTTGAGCCAGGCAGCCTTATTTGCACTAACTCAGGATGTCCTTTCCTAACGTTTTCTAACAGCCCATTTTGTAACACCCAGTTACCACATATGAGATGTGAAATGGCCCTGAGCACCACGACAGCACTACCCACGCTACTCGATCTGGCAGGATCTGAGCAGGCTTTCCATGGAGCCTGGGTATCCGTGGTGTTTAATCCCTTACTCAGATAAACTGTGCATGGAGAAGGAGTTGATTGTAATGTGTGCAAAACTCTTCTCTTGGTGACAAACAAAATTTGTAGCTTTGATAGACCAACATATGGTTATTATCTGGCTTTGGAAAGGGCAAGTTTATGTTGCAAATAAACAAACTGATGAATGAGTAGCAGAATTCAAATAGTATCTCTGATCTTCACTGCAAAAATGTGCAGATACTCAGAAGAGAGAACTAATAACACATAGAGCTCAAAACCACCACAATCATGTCGTTTCTCTAAGGATATCTTCTTCTTACGTATGAGTAACTCACGCTTGTTTTTAAGGGTATGGCTAGCAATGTTTTAAGGACTAGAGCAGCTTCTCTACCCAACCTTCTCAATCGTTTTTCTCTAGGCTGGAGGATCACAGAATCACAGAATGTCAGGGATTGGAAGGAACCTCAAAAGATCATCTAGTCCAATCCCCCTGCCAGAGCAGGAACCTAAATGAGATCACATAGAAAGGTGTCCAGGCAGGTCTTGAATGTCTCCAGAGAAGGAGACTCCACAACCTCCCTGGGCAGCCTGTTCCAGTGCTCCATCACCCTCACTGTAAAGAAATTTCTTCTGAAACTTAAGCGGAACCTAGTTACAGCTTGTGCCAGCTGTGAGATTCCAGGATTATCCCTTAAGCAAGATCCAGGTGTAAAGCTCTGTTGGCTTTTCAGGTGAGCCCTCTCATTCCTACTTTATCTCAATTTTTGTGCATTCTTTCATTCCTAGAATATGTACAAGGAGGATTTCAGGAACATGACTGAAGAGAATAGGAACAGCAGTGACTCTTCCTGTGCCTTTACTCACTCCAACACCGTGACTGCCATACTGATTACTGCCTACTCAGTTGCCTTTGCTGGAGGTGGGATTGGGTCCCTCACAATGTCATTTGTGCTGGTCAAGATGAACACTCTGTCTGTGACTACTACAGCCATCATTAACCTGGTTGTTGTGCATGGCCTCCTTCTCTTCACGGTGCCCTTCCGCCTCCACTATTATGTCAACAAGAAGTGGGTATTCAAGATGCCGTTTTGCAAAATGGTGAGTGCAATGGTGCACATCCACATGTACCTGACCTTCTTGTTCTACGTGATCACGCTGGTGATCCGGTGGCTCATTTTCTTCCAATGGAAGGACAAGGTGGAGTTTTACAGGAAGCTGCACGCCATTGCAGCAAGTGCTGCTGTGTGGGTTTTCGTCATAGTCTTTGTGGTGCCAGTCTTGTCCTTAGAGTATGGACGCTCTGGCTCGTACAATGATACAACGTGCTTTAAGTTCCACAAAGAACTACAGCAGGAGAGCGTGAAAGCCCTGAACTACACCATAATTGCAGCTGTTGCCTGCGTTACTTGTGTCCTCTTGAGCCTGCAGATTTTCATTCTGGTAAAAGTGGCGAGAAAACTTGCCACCTCCCTCTGGTCACATCAAGAGTTCTGGGCCCAAGTGAAAAACTTGATTTTCATCTGCGTCATCATAATTTGCTTCCTTCCCTATCACCTCTTTAGGGTCTACTACATACACCACGTGACTGATTCTGAGCAGTTAGAAAGTTACAATGAAGTTTTTTTGAGTCTGACTACCCTCAGCTGTCTGGACCTGCTGTCATTCGTGCTGAGTGGAAGTCGTCTCTTCAAGCAAAAGGTGGGCATGCTCCGCAGCAGGTTGTCTTGCTGCTAGCATCGACCTCCTGCAGTGCACGTGGACCTGGACCTGGCAGAGCACAGTGCTGGAGAGACACGAGCCCTGAGAAGAGTGCAACATACTCTATACACCTGCTCCCCAAATAATGGGGCAAACCACCTCTGGTATCTCAGCTGGTAAACTGGAAGGTTACCTCTGAGATTTCCTCACGGTGCAACCTAGTGAGTTGCAGATGTATCAGGAGGAAAGGGGCATGGGCTCTTCTGTCTTATTGTTTTCACATCAAGGTTTGTGAAGTCAAAGGCACTAGGAGAAGACTCAAAAGAATTCGCAAAGTACATAGAAACACAAGTAAAACAGCTGGTTTTTGTGGAATAAGGTACATATTTTTGAAACTTAAAGATCTATATAGTTTTCCACATACATTTCTTATTTATTGCCCACAGAGAATCATAGAATCTGCTGGTTGGAAAAGACCTCTGAGATCATTGAGTCCCATCATGCTCTCATAAAACTCAGGGAAATTATTGTTCCTCCTGAGTAGGTCTGTTCCTTCACTGTAAAGACTTTCTAAGTGAATTGAACAATTAAACCAACCCTTTAAAAACAACCCAGCAATAAATATTTATTTCTTAAAAGATTTTCTCAAAATCACCTTTGTAGATGGTATTACAGAGAAAAGAGTTTTGTTCTCTTTCCCATGTTATGAAAATATCTCTAACAACAGAAATTGCTTGTTGTTACTGAAATGAACATTGGAAGTTCAAACAGAAGCAGGTATTTGTATTTACAAAATTGTTCAATTTAAAAAAAATAATTATCAGTTATGACTATTTTATTTAGATCATTCAGATACCAGCTGTCTTCTCTTAAAAAGTCAAATATTTCAGGTCTCCAAGGTAAAAATGACTTTTTTCTCCTATGTGGATTTTGTGCAATTCTAAAGTTTAAAATTAATTACTCAGAATAGCTTTAGCTTCAAATCAGTCATGTAAATTTAGTACCCTGTACTAGTAAAAGAAATTAAAATTTTACTGCTTGGATTGGAGGGGTGGAAAAAGCTAATAAACCTGGTGTAGCTAAAAAGCTTATTGTATCTCAGTGATGCATTGTGACTTGTTATCTCTGAAGATAGAATTGAATTCCACTTAAAAAGAGCAAAAATTCAGCAAAATCATTCTGAGAGAGAGATTCAGGCTTTCATAGCTCAGCTGCTTTACACCTGTCCCCAAAAAGAGTATAAATCTCTGACTGCTCTAACCCAAGACAGCAATGGCTAATTTATCTTTCTTCTTCTTGCCATATGCATAAGGAATAATATTTTAATCGTCTGACAAATTAGAGTTTATTAGCTGATGAATTTCCAAGGACAATCTCTCCTCATGATGCTATTGAAGTCCAGCTTTTCCTACTTATGATTCTTTCCATTCCTTTGTACTTCACCTTCAACATTTCTTGCTCATCAGACAGCAACCAAATAATGATTGGTTGATTTTTCTGTACCTGTACAATTTTACTGCTATGCTTGTTGCTTTTGGTGCCAAAAATGGTTACTTTATAGGATCCCATATCTTCTATAGTCTTTCTTCCTGTCTTCCTTCTCGCTCCTCTATATCTTGGGAAGTCTGATCATCAGAAAATATTTTCAGGTCAATCCAAGTAACAATGAAAGCTGGAAATCACTGAAGTTCATAACATGAATGAGATGTGGAGGTGCTCTCATGGCCCTTCCTTGGCAAATAGCCTGAATCACAACAACTGTTAAGATAGAAATGTGAGAGCTTGCACTGTGTATGTGGATCTGAGATAAACTGTCTGAGAAGGTGTTTGCTCCAAAAGGATCACGGTAAAGAGGAGGATGACTACAAGCCAGATTCCACAGTAGTCAGGGAACTATGGAGACTTTCATAACATAGAAGGAATCAACTTGAATGTGTAGTTCACTACTAGTTAATTATGTGTCATTAAGAAAGCAATAAAAAGCTCTGATCCAGATCTGTTTTAAAACTACATGAACAAATCAGTCTTTCCATGTGGTTGGAGATAAGTATTGACACAACACTTCTTTCCTCCTATGGCAACTTCCTTGGTAGAAGAAAATACCTTACGTGTGATCTCTAGGCACTGCAAACCTTTGTAACACTATATTATAACTCTTCTGTCATAACAAAGTTGTTAAACAAAATGACTGCATGCTGAAAAAGTTAAGCAAGTCCTTCCTGCAAATATACATATAAATGAAAAGCATTTTGTATCTCAGTTTGGCAAGACTTTCAAAAAATAAACCATATATATGTTTACAAACAGTACGTCCTGACTATAAAGCTTAACCAATCTCATTCCTGGATGTGTTAAAAATCACAAGTTGTTTAATTCTTGTCAAACTGTACACATTTGCAATAACATAGCATCACACACACACAAAAATACTAGGTAGTGAGGTTTTTCCCATTTAAAATTGATTCTAATGATGTTAATCCTAACTCAGGGTGATAACGAGCAAAATTAGGGTTCGTAATTCAATGCTTTAAATTGCTGATACTATTCAACATCAAGTTATGCTTTTTATGGGACTGTCTAGGCAGACTTTACACCTACCACTCGTCCTGCTTTGTGAAAGTTAGCGCCTGGCATAGAAATTCTCCCTCCACCCTGAGAGAATGAAGTCTCTGTTAACACTGGCAGGAATTGCCCTGCCAGATGGTAACAGAAGTGATGCTTCCAACAAAGGTTGCCCACAGGGCTTGCAGGGATGACTGGTTGCTGCTCCTTTCAGCTTTCCCCTACTTCTTGCTCTCTCCCATCTCCTGGGCACCCTCCCTGTTGCCTTCCCCCAGGAGGGCTGAGGAGAGGTGGAGGTGCTGCCTGACAATGCCACAGAGTGAGAAGAGTCTGAATAACTCCTGAAAACAAACATGTAGACAAGGCCAGAGCAGCATCTGAAATGTAGCTAAGTGGCTTCAGAAGTTTAAACCCAAACAGCAGGCAATCTGTGTATATTATGATAATACTGTGAAAGCAGCCTTTTGTCTTATTAAAAAAAAAAAAAACAAACCAAAACCAAAACCCAAGATTGCTCATCAACTGAAATGGCTAATGGTTTCCAGTATTTAACAAAATGTGAACTCCTGTCACTGTTGTTGTAGTGGGGAAAGTCAGGTGTTTCAAGTACCAATCCAATGGAACAAAAAATGAACAACAGCTGCAAATTGTACAGAGTAAAGTTGACCTCTAGTGAGTCTCTATTTTAGAAAATAAAATATATAGCTTATTCTACAATATATTACAGAATCACACAATGGTGGGGGTTGGAAGGGACTTCTGGAGATCATCTAGTCCAACCCTCCTGCCAGAGCAGGTTCACCTAGAGCAAGTTACACAGGACTGCATCATACTGTGTGGTTTTAAACAGTTTGGGAAATAAAATTAAATAAAGCAGCTCTTTCTGTTTTCTTTTAAGCTAATGAGTGCAAAAAGCTAGAGCTTAGATATTTCTCTTAAGTTAATGAATGCAAAAAGCTAGAGCTTAGATATTTCTTTTAAGCTAATGAGTGCAAAAAGCAAGAGATTAGATATTTTGCATGACACCTGCCTACCGTTTTCTGTCATTTTGCAAAATAACTGGAAGTTGTTTTGAGAAATGGCTGAAGATTGTACTCATTTTGCAAAATGACTGTTTTCACAATATGACTGTATCATACGTCAGAACTTGGTGCAAGGGCAGTTTTATGTAAAAGGAAGGAGCTGAATCAGATTTCTCTACTTGCTAAGTCATCATTCCTGAAGATGCCTCAGGGCTTTGAATTTCAATTTAGAGATCTATATAAAAAGTGTAAGAAATGCTCCAAGTGCATGATCCCAAAGGCAGAGTATTGTGCAACTGTTGCTGAAATAAAGAAGACAAAACAGAATCCCAAGTCAAAGTCAAGACATGAATACTATCTGTTTACAAAGTGAGTATGGAGAACCTACTCTTTATGGCGTTTTTTTTGTTTTTTGTTTTTTTTAACTCTAAGTGTATGTATGGCTGCATTCCCCATTTAGATACACAGCATTATTACTAATAAACTGCTTGCTATTTCCCTTATTTTAGATATGAAATTCTATAATGTGGAGACAGTAAGAAGCTAATTAAAAAGAGATAGACAAAATAGGAATCTCCCATCTATTACTTGAGCATTGAAGGTACATATTATATCATTTAAAAATGCACATATGGCAACTGGCCATAGTGGCTGTGACTGTGTCATGAAACACTTGTCATCTAAGTATGCAAACATTACCAGAGATGCTGTTGAACTCTTCAAGTACTTCTGTGTAGTGTGCCAAGAAAAAAGAATACATGACTTGGAACTGTTTGCTGGCCAGTCTGTTCTGAACAAGGAGCGTTTAGCATCCACAGCCTCAGAAGCCTCCACACACAGACTAGAGACACAGCCTTTTGCCACCAGAGTTCATGGCCAGTGGACAACCACTAGCTATGGTAGACTCCAAAGCTGACCTCTGTTTTCACTAGCAGGATGAAGAAGCATGGACAGACAAGGCTGACCAGGTAGAACAATGTGGGTTGGCATTTGAGACGAGGAGGTATGATCTCTTCATCCAGCTGGAGACGATGTGACTGTCCCCGAGACCAACAAGCAAGTTAACTGAAATGTTGCAGGACAAGATGGAAGCATGAACAGCCTTTGTCACCATTGTCTCAATTGTGAAAATAATTGAGAGCTCAGTGGGAAAAAAAATGCTACTTTAAGTCTCCTACCCAAGCTTACAAATTGAGCTTACCTTACTTTTAAGGAATTTACATGTGCAAATTAACGTATCAAGCTATTTTTCCAAAATTAACTTAATTTTCCAAAATTTACCAGTCTGTATGTCTGGAGAAGTGGAAGGAGTGAGGGGAGGAAACTATTGTTTTCCATGAAGGAAACTGCAATAACTTCACTCTACCAACACAAAGTCCCCTTTTCTCCCTGTCAAGGATTACTGTTCCATGATAACATGTAATTGTGATACTCTTTATGTCACCCTGCTGT